AATAAAAAGGCTGGCCTGAATCTTTCAACCTTACTGTACTCTTTCACTCGGTATGATTTCTCAAAAATAAGTTCTCTTGTGAAAAAAGTGTACAGATGTTTACAGTTCGGATCTGATTTTTTATTCAGTTTACTCCTTTATCAAACTAAACGTTTTCCTCTTATTTTTTATTTCTAGTTGCAAAAACGATACGAAATTTTGCTGATAAAACTGGCATGTCAACGGATGATCTTAATCATTTCCAGAATGTAATGGTAACGATACACGAGGGACGTTTAGAAGAAATTCCTCTATTTGCACAAGAAGCTGTTACACAAGGTCTAGCATCACTCGTCGAAAAACTGTATGAATCTGGTTTCATGGATATATAAGATGTTATTTCAATCTCATTCTCATTAAAATAGGGAGGTCTTTTAGTCTGCGTTACAATTACCCGGTTAGATGATAATGATTTGTTCTAGTAGACAATGCTGCATGTATTAAGATTGCCATCCGGTTTGTTCTTTGTAAAGCAAAATCGAGCAGTTTTTCTGTCGAGTTATTTCTCTCTTCTAACTTTTATTTTTTTGTTCCATTTAATAATATTTTTTCACGACTTAAAATCGAATGTAATTCCAAATAAATCCAAAAACCAAGATCAAAGGGAGAATTTGCCTATAAAACTCGCAGAGCATAAACTAAACCATGTTTAATTGTGAAATTTTAATACCGTTCGTTCATCATTCAACCTCTAGATTCGAGTAGCACCAAATGATAGATGATCAGATGGTACTGATTTCATGCACACTTAGCAATTCAATTTCACTAGATAAAAGTTTTGATTTAATCAAAAACAGAATCTCATTTTCTACTTTTATTTTCTCCGAACAAGATAGGATTACCAAAGAAAATTGTTAATATTCTTGAAAAAATTTAATTGTACTCATCCTTATGTTTTTCCTGTATTAACACGTTCACTGTCCAACAACAATTAAATGGAATCATATATGATACATGGACAGTGCACGTGTTAATCTTTGCATCTTTATTTTGTGATTCTGCATAGTAATTCCCATACAGTCTCAAGTTGAGAGAATATGACTATGCCCTATCATGCAGAACATCAAAAGTTTCCCGAAGGTTATATAGCTACTGTCTGAAGCCCGTTTTTACAGATTGAGAAAGTTTTGGACTCACTTAAAGCTAAATTGGTTAAAAATAGAGTCGAGTCTCAGACTATGTTAGATGAAGCTGAAAGAAAGTTCTTATATCACTAGCTATCTTCGCTATCGAATAGTGATTGATTTATACTGTGAGGGGTGACCAAATTTAGGACTAGTTGTCCAAAAAAACATAATCGCTTCCAACAGAATATATTATAATTTCGGCTTATAATTGAAATTTTTATTCAATGAATTTGAGTCTCACACATTAAAAAAGAAATGGCGTTTATTCGCCTTCGATTGTATGAGTCATTATTAAGGATGTGTACCGCGATAACGGTAAAAGAAGTTTACCGTTACCGACTTTTTGTCGCTGCAAAAAAACTATTATCGTTGATTTTTCCGGTAAATTTTTTTAAACCGTTGTGTTATTTCAATTAGCGTTGTAACCGTATGTTATATAATAACCTTAGAGGAAGGGAGTAAGCGGAAATATAGATTTTGATTATGTCAGGAAAGGAAGGGGTGAAATATATCTAAAAAATTACCCATATCGTACATATATGAACCGCTC